ACGCGTTGCTATTTCAAATCCAGTAGTCAGACTACAGTTACTTTAAGAAATCACTTTGCGTTACTGTGCGTTACTATTTACTTGGTGTGGCGGTCTGTCATTCAAATCTTTTTCACCAGAGAGCAAAAGAGGACAGTGGTTGACTCTCAGACCTTTGCCAATTTAGATAACATTAGTGGATAAGATCGGCTTCACATGTAAAAATCGAGTCTTACTTTTGTTGCACTCTTTGCAAAAAAGTTTATTTTTACTGAGATCAGTGGGGTGTAGTTCACAGTGTTTTGCTGTGTCATGACAGGGGACATTGCTTTTTTTGTGACGTTATTGTTTGGTTTCTGTTTATATAAAAAATATCAAGGATCTATAAGGGTCTCCAACTGGTAAAACAATTATTAGACACATAATTAGGCATCAAATGATGACTTCAGTTTCAAACGTCCCACATCCTAACAGGTGAGTAAAGCATCTGCACACAATAAGCAATGTTATTATTGTGCACTGCTTTTTCTACCAGTGGCACGCATATTCAATTAAATGATAGGCAATAATGCAACATGGGGAGGAGCTTGTTGCTTAAAGTATTCCAATCATCTATTATTTTCCATTAAGCCAAATTAGTAAAATGTGTAAGGTCCAGGAAACGTTATAGCCTTTATTTTCAAGGGTGCAAGACAAACTATGACATTAAAAACAATAAGAATAAAAAAGATGCTGTTCAAGACAATAATATGAGATATAGATATAAGAAGGAAAGACAGGGGCCACAATGAAGAGGATAGTGCAGACCGAGATGCCTGGGTCAATGATGATGTGTTACCTGCTGGAAGAGACCTCCTGTTGGAAAGTCCCTGCAAGGTGAAATGCTTCTGAGCGTTAACAGCTGAGTGGACTGAAGCATCAGCTGGGGGGCAAGGAAGAGAAGTTAGTAAAGCAGGGAAATTCCATAATCAGCAGTCCACAAGATGTGAAGTGATTGATAGACTCTGACAAAGACCTGGAACAGGATCTCAGCAGTGGACTATAAGTGTTATATCACTGTCAGTGTTTGCTTAGAATCTGCTTTTCACACCAACACGTTATACTATCATTTTCAAATAAAGATTCCAATACCAACAAGGTTGGTGTTTGATAGTGAGGACAGCCTAATTTCATAAACACAAACATGGTAAAATATCTAAAAAACAAAAATTTAGAAGAAAACAGGCCTAAACTCATCCCTGACAATGGATTAGCTTTTTGGTGTAGGGTCCAAAAGTTGCGTCTTCTCTATGGTACACGAAATGTATTTTTCTGGAACTATTACTTCCCCTAGTAATTTTTGTGAGCATTTCCACAGCAGACGCTGAATGGTGGCTCCTTCCACTAAATCCGTTAATTGAAGAGAAGAAACTAGAACCAACATTTCTGTCACACACAGTGACTGCCTTTATAATTTATACATAGTCAATAGAAATCCATGGACAGGTGTAACTGGAAGATATTTAAGAGGGATTTTGGCAACACAAACTTCTGTGTTCTATTACTTCAGAGTCGAGATAAGAGAAGTAAAGGCTTACAACCCCACTATTGTAGCCATACGCTTAAAAGATAACACTGGATTTCAAGAGATGCTAACAACCTAACATCCAGGCAGCAGAGGCGATATTCCACAGTAACCTGTCTTGGACAACACCATCAATTGTTGGCAAGCCCTGCCAATCCACCTCATTTGCTTTTGCCGCTCCTCATTAAAACTTCCTCTGTATAGTTAGAATGAATTATGAATGAATTTTGAATGATATATATGAAGGGTCACCAACACGATGCCTGCGGGCACGCAGTCGCCCGAGGGGACCTTGTTAGTCTCGCGGAGCAAGTTCTAAAAATAGCCATTGTCATTAGGGAGCACTGCCAAAAAAATTATTCAATTAAATGTTTTTACATTGAAATAATAACATTTGTTTATTTTTGGATTATTTTTTTTAAAAAGTGAATTATAAAAACGTTTAAAATAATTTGCTGTATGTATACAACTCTTTTCTAGGGTTAAAGTTCAGAATTATACGCAGACGCCTGCAGGATATTATCAGAGGGCAACAACTGTACAGCTGTACCACTCTGCATTCCTTGATATTTTCCTTTAAAAAAAGAAAAGAATAACTTCTGGATTTTTTATCATCTACCCTCTTTACTACTAGCAAAATTGCGGAGAAAAAAAACTTTTTTGTGTTAAAACATCTTGTAGTAAGTAAATGTTACTAGTCAGTTTACTTTTGTTTATTTGGCGGCTTGGTGCTTTTTCTGTAAGCTAAAAATTAATGAGCTGAGTTTGATCCAGTCCTTAGCGGTCGTTTGGATCCCAGCTGAGCTTTTTACCGTGTGCGCGGTTCTGGCAGGTCACCGGATGGCAGACATCTGCCGCTCCGACTGAGCGTCTCAGACTGCAGGTTAAACAATTTAATCTAGTCAAGACGTTTCCCGAAAGAGTAGAAATTAAGCAAACAATGTTGCATCACCTTCTCCTCTTCTGGACATCTGACACCACCTGAACCTGGGAATCAATATTCCCGTCTTTCTGTGGATCACACGGGTAGACTTCGCTTTCATGTCTTTATTATTTAGCATCGTTTGTATAAAAAAATAAAAAAATAAAAAGTCTGCTGCTTTTGTGGTTTAGGTTTGTGCTGGTCAGGTGCAGACAGTGATAGTTTTGTGCTACTCTCCGAACTGTCTAACCTTTTTTTTCGGCATCTGCTGATGTCAGCCAACGGTTGACCCGTCAGCTTTTCAGTTCGCGAAACCACAAAAAGGCTAATAAATCGGCGACCTCATCAGAACCACGCACGGTAAAAAGCTCAGGCGGGATCTTAGAACAACGGGAGGAGCTCATTCATTTTTAGCTACAGAAAAAGCACTAAGCCGCTAAATTAACAAAAGTAAACTGACCAATAAGATTTAGCCTTTTGCGTGCCCACCCCCACAGACTCACACTGATGTGCGCTGCGTACAAGATGTTTTGACACAAAATATATTTTTTCTCTACAATTTTAATAGTAAAAAGGGTTAGATAATAAAACATACAATAACTCTTCTTTTCTTTTTTTATTTAAAGGAAAATCTCAAGGTACTCACAGTGCGTAAAGTCATACAGCTGCAGGTGCTACTGTAATAATCCAGACTGTCAGTCACTTGTGGGCAATTTAGAATCACACAGAAAAGCTCCAAAAGGGAATCAAACTTAAAACTCTGAACTAAGAACTTCTGATCACATAATAGCAATTAACCATATCTGCCATGGTAAATCATTACTGATAGTCCCTAACATTAATATGATCAGGCAGCATGTAATCATATATACACATATGTATTATTGTTATAAAATGATGAACCTGATTTATACATCTCTATTCGGCTTGGCTCCAGCATACTTAAACTCTCTTTTGCATAGATCTGTTATTTCCCATTCTTTACATTCTAACAACATTTTTCTTTTGCATGTTCCATGTTCCCGAACTGAAAAAAGGAAGCAAGCTTTTAGTGTGATGGCTCCTTCAGCCTGGAATCAGCTCCAGTCTGAAATCAAGATGTCAGAATTGATTTCACTGGACTTATTTCGAGCAATTCTTAAAAACAGGCAACGAGGTTCTTTCAAACTTTGTCACTGTTTTTAAATTGTTTTATACTGTTTTACACTTGTGCATATGTATAAAGGAAATAGAAGTAAAAAAATAAAAAAATAAATAAAATGTCTATGATCCAGCTTTTAGTTTATGTATTCTTCTTAAGAAAGTTTAATAGATGAACTCTCACCTTGCCCCATACCTGTCAAGTTTTGGGTTTGAGAATACAGGAAATGTCGCCTGGAGTTGGGGGGCTTGGGGTGGTAATGGTAGAGGGATGGGGCAGGCAGACCGGGCAGATTAGAGGCTAACGAATGAACGTCAGATGGGAGTGGAGAGGAGGAAATAGAACAGGGGATGGACGAACGTAAGAACGGAGGGAGCAGTACGGGATATTTACAGCACATTCGTTTGTCACACTCAGAAACTCATCTACCAGCCAAGATGATTTCCGCTACCCGTTTGTTGAGACCGGGATGATATGAAATTTATTGTGCGGTTTGTCCGTAAAGCTACACTTACACTGTAAGCATCAACTACTCAGCCGCCTGCCGTGTTCAGTCTCTCCGCTCACCTGTATAAATACTCCTGCAGCGCTCTTCCCGCTGTTCGCTCTGAACCAGCAGCAAATAAATTCTTAAAAGTCTACAAAAAAAAAACCCCAGAACCAACACACTATGAACCAGACTAATAGAGAAGTAGTAGAAAACTAAACAAAATGTAATCTTGGACTCATTTGTAAATATTGTATTAAATATCCACCAAAAAATGATTCCTATCTCTTTTTTGCCTTTTTACCTAAACTATGTTTTTGGCAGGGCTGCACAGTGGCGCAGTTGGTAGAGCTGTTGCCGTGCAGCAAGAAGGTTCTGGCTTCGATTCCCGGCCCCGGTCTTTCTGCATGGAGTTTGCATGTTCTCCCTGTGCATGCGTGGGTTTTCTCCGGGTACTCCGGTTTCCTCCCACAGTCCAAAAAACATGACTGTTAGGTTAATTGGTCTGTCTAAATTGCCCCTAGGTGTGTGTGTGTGCCCATGGTTGTGTATCTGTGTTGCCCTGCGACAGACTGGCGACCTGTCCAGGATGTACCCCGCCTCTCGCCCGGAACGTTAGCTGGAGATAGGCACCAGCACCCCTCCCGACCCCACTGAGGGACAAGGGTGTTCAGAAAATGGATGGATGTTTTTGGCATTCATGTTAAAGTGGTACCTTAGAATCAACCCATCTTTATATCAAGGAAGAAAGAATAAAAGATTGAAAAATCTAATCCTGGTAGGAACTTTCTTTTATTGGACCACTGACCTTTTTTCTGCCTCATGTTGGGACTCGGGTTAGCTCTCCTGAATACTGACTCTGGATTAGATGAATCTGACTGTCTCAGGCCCATCTTCCGGACATTCCTGTTGGGACAGAAGGACAGGTCCGCCAATCAGAACTTTACAAAAACAATTTTTGAAACAGGACATTTCATTGGCCTTTGTTTAGCCACAATAAGAAATAATGATAAAGTTTCTTTAATCGTTAGGGTTATTTGTATTGTCACTTACCTCATTGGGACTCCATAGTTATTGTTCTGGCTGGCCTCTGTGAATCCAACACACACACAGCATTTGATTTTGCAATAAGTTGTCATTTTTTTGTATATTCTAGAATGAACAACAAATGTTGTAATCTGCTGTCTCAGCAATTAGTAATCTAAACAAAGCCATATCAGTAATTAGCCTACTGAGGCTTTAAGTCTGCAAATATTAATTCATATAAAGTCCTTTCAAATCCAGACTAAAACCCCACCTGCTTAGAGTTGCGTTTGAAAAAATTATCGATGGCACTTGACTAAATGTTTCAGTTGTTGACTCTGTTTTCTATGACTTTGTATTGTTTTATCTTTATGATGTAAAGCACTTTGAAATGCCCTGTTACAGAAATGTGATACACATAAAATTTGATTTGATTTGAAAGATGTTAAGCAATGTTTGAATATTTACTCATGTAAGCCATTAATTCCTCTCTGTAATCTTCAAGACACATGAAGACCAGAGTGAAAGTATGTTTCCAGATTCAGACTGTGGAGCATTGTGTCTGACGTAAGCTAAAGTGGAGATAAATACAAGAAACAATCTCAACTTTCTACAAGACACCATTCTGGGGGAAGAAATCTCTGGAGATTAACTCTAAAATAAACTTTAGGCCTTAGTCAAAAGCGTCGCAGTGAGTGATCTGGCTTATTACCTCCCATTCCAAGCAACCAATGAGCTTGTCACAGAAATGCAGACTGTGCATGGAACTATTCAACATGCTCTAAACATTGTACTCAGCAAAAAGAATGTATTTGCAATCATGGATGTAGCAATGTTTTATTCGGAGGTGTGTGCAGACAGTGGAGCAGAACGCAGCAACGGGCGCCTAAAATGAGCAGTCATGCTGAGAATGAGGGGAGATTTATTGTGGGGCTCATGCTCGTTCCTTCCTCCATGTTTACAGCTTGTCTCGCGTAATTCAGCCAAATCTACATAACTTTGCTATTCAAAAAATGAATTATTAGACTGTTAAGCCGGGCAATCATGGTGGGGAGTTGAATGTACAATGTGTAATAAAACAGTACAGGTAATTCCGTACTGCCTTTATATTGCTGGCCTTATTTGTCAGCTATTCTTCAGCTCCTACTTTAATCAAAACGCACTGGTGGAACCGCTACACTGAATAAATAATATCTCATGCACAATTCCATTCTCTGTGAGGCTAGTACCCTCTGAAACTGAATTCCAACTAGAAACAGAAGTTAGGAAAGCGGCAAAATAAGTTGCATAATGCTGGGAAACCCCTCAGCTGCCTTGGTTCAGATTCTAAAACCACTTCTGTTGCTGTCAAAGTGCAAATACAGATCAGACAGAATGGAAAAAGATTCCATCCTGTCTGTATAAAATGCAGACTCTGAAACATGCTGCCTGTTACTCTGGATGACTGATCCCCAAGTTTAACCGAACTTTAACCGAAGTTATGAAATGTCGCAAAATATTCAATAAACAAAAATGTGGGTTTCCACCTACTGGTTTGGAATGAATCAACCAGGTGACACAGACTATAATTTCATCAGATGTTGACATGGCTGTAATAAACAGGAAGTAGAAATGACAAACTAGCATTGTTTGGACTTTTTGCGTCCCTGGTAGGGCAGAGACCTCTGCAGGTGGACTGGAGTATAAACTATGTCAGAATTTATTCAGCAAATGTGTTTCCATGTTTCCACTGTTTGTCTTATACACTGCTTTGGGAGGATGTCTCTTATAAATTGGAGCTTTCTAAATAAACAGAGCTGAACTATAATAAATAAAAGTATAACAATTTTTTTCTGCAACTCTTTCCATGAAGATCAGACTGATGTCTTTCACTTCTCTCTCAGGTTATTTCTTCTCAGCCTTTATGTTGTTTCTTTGTGCTTCCTATCAGCCCCCGTCTCCACCCTAGAAATGTCTTTGCATTCCTCTCTCTAGCTGTCCATCTCTTTGTCTCTCTCCACATATCATTCCATAATTCCCCCAGTCTTCTCTCCCCATCACTTTCAATCTGCCCTCCCTTTCATTCTCCCCCACACCAGTTTCATCCCCTTCTCTTTCTGTTTCCTCACACACTGAGTAAGAAGTGCTAATCATGCACACGCTCGCTGCACTGGGGCTCCTCAGCCTCCTGCAGCCTCGGCTCTGCAGGCTTCAAAACAGCACTGCCATACTATTAGGCAGTCTGCTCACACACAGGAACAGGGACACACACTCCACTGTGCGCACACACAAGTTGCCAGTTGCTAGAGTGTGCAGTTAACAGAGTGTGACTTTCATGTCACTCCTGACCACTAAGTAGATCTGTGGTCCTGCTGCAGAGTGTAGACTGAGTATGGAGAAAGTTGATTGTTACAAAACATCTTTGTATTTTTTCTTTACACCAGTTGTTATAGCAATTTGCAGATGGATTATTGAATCAACAAAATCCTATTGTCAGCAGCAAAAAAGCCTAGCATCATTAACATCAGATAAGGAAGTCCATTTATGTTATGGAAGAAAAAAATGAAAGCCCAAAAGGTAGTCAAAATTTTTACCTATTTTTTGGCTAAATAAAGAAAAGTTTGTAGAAGAACATTTTTATTTTCCTTCTGGGGAATAAACTATAAACATTTTATAGCCTGGAAAATAATGAACCCAGAAAGTTAAGTGACTGTAAATGTCAAGGCAAACATTAAATATTACATGTTTTATTTATTGTTGTGCAGGTAAGAGAGAAAGAATTCACAATAATGTTTTTTGGGGTATTTAATAGTGGAAAAAATAAAATGTTGACCCCTGAATACTTTCAACTTGGGGATTGTGTTCTTTGTGCAAAAAAGTTTGAACACCTCTGCCCTGAGACCAGAACACCTTGAGGGACTAAGGGGATCCATGACTAGTAGTAATAACAGACATTAGCTGAGAAACATTTATTTCAGATGTAAAAGTAAAAGCAATACAGGAAAAATACTGTAGACTGTTTATCTAATCATATTGTTAAACGGGTGTCGCCCTGTTTACGCTCTAATGAATCCAGGGTTGATGAAGAATGCAAGGTTCTATGAAGCTAAGTCTGTCCAGCCACAGGATGGACCACCAGAACAGATCAAAATCTGTTTTGTAGAAGTCACCAGATTCTCTCATTAAGTGACAGGAATTTACTGAATATACAAACATGTAAATATGGAAAGATATTACAACTGTACTGCCTTAAGATGATGCCTTGCAGTCATGTTAATAACTTATGGAGTTTTGCTTGAAATTATGCCAGGTATCTGAATGACACCACATCCAATCCTACGATGGCTAACTTCTCTGCAGGGTCTAAAATTCAATTCAGCTTTTTATGAAATTAGATTTTATATTATTTTAAGATTGTGCAACCATCCTAAGCCTCCAAAGTGAAGAGTCTATGTGACTCACATGGCAGAAGATGACGATGTTGCACTAACTATGTAGGCGACTAACTGGAGCTCAAAGTAGCGACCATTCTAGATTACAGAACCTTTTTGGTGAATTAAAAAAAA